TGTACAAGTCATAAGAATGTATCCAACATGTTTTATAAAAGTTCAAGAAGTTATTTAACATGTTTTGGATTGTTCAAGGACTTATTTGTTCCAAAAATTATCCAATGAGTTATTTAACATTTTTTGGAATGTCCAATGACTTATTTGTTCCAAAAATTGTCCAAGGAGTTATTTAACATATTTTGGAATGTCCAAGGACTTATTTGTTCCAAAAAATTGTCCAATGACTTATTTAACATGTTTTGGAATGTCCAAGGACTTATTTGTTCCAAAAAAAAGTCTAAAGACTTAATCATTCCAAACAAGAAAATCCAGTGGCTTTTATTGTACTTTTTCCTTAAATTAAAAACCATAATAAAGTACGTCCCACTTTAAACTATCTTCCATTTTTATTATAAAAAAGGTAATTAATCAAAATAGTGGCTTCGTCAATCAAATTTACTTTTTCGTCATTTTTTCAATCAAATTCTAATTTTAGTGAATTTATGCAAATGATTTACGTATTTATTTAAACTAGATTTTTAGACTAAAAAATCTTTATGCAAATTTACGCCCACATCTTGGTAAGGATCCTCGTTTGCATACAAATTTTTTTTTAATCAGATAAAAGGTCTTACACAAATTTGTGAGGCATTTGCATAAATTCTGGCTAAAATGTGAATTCAGTTCCAAAAATAGCTAAAAAATGAATTTGGTTTAGAAGATTAGCTATTTTAGTCAATTTCCCTTTAAAAAAAATCAGATGTTGTTATAATTAACTAAAACCATGAATATTACCAACGGGTTTTTTAGAGCGTCCAAATATATTCATATTCTTTTACATAATTTTTAACTTGCATATCTTTGTTGGGGTTTGTACTCTTTTGTTTTATATATATAGACTTTTCAAAAAGAATAAACAGAACCACAAAGGTGATGTCTGATTGGTCTGAGTTTGACTTCAAAGGTCAAAAGTAACAGGAGGTCCCAGGTTCAAATCCAAGGATGAATGAAAATCCTCTTGTGGCCACGGAGGTTTAAATGCGGTGACTTCAGATTATCTGCAAAGCAGGTGGTAGTCCTGGGATTAGTCGGCTCGCATAGCGGGTTGGATATTCAGGTTAATAAAAAAAACAAATATATTGGATTTTTTACGAAATATATTGATTTTTTTGTTGTAATATCTACTTATTGGGATTTCAAGTTGCAATACTCAAATAATAAATAACAGATTATGGATAAATTAATTAATTATATGATTAAAGTTAAATAATCAGTTCGATAAGTGTAACGGTGAAATATATTATAAGCTTAATAGATGATTTATTCAATTTGAGAAATGGATACGAGGACACGATGGGAATGAAAATGTGTATTCTCATTGCATTGCTGATACTCATATGACAATACAAATCAATATTTAAGACCGGAAATGTTGAAATATGATCCAAGTCTTTTGTTGAAGAAAAAGTCCTAAGCAAAATACAACTCCTTGGCCTCTCATACTGTATTTTTTCCCCATGATGATACAATCACCATCATCGTCACCTTAAACCATCAATATCAACCACAAGGGTGGTGCCTGATTGGTTTGAGCTTGGCTCCAAAGGTCAAAAGTACCCAAAGGTCTCAGGTTCAAATCCAAGGAGGAATAAAAATCCCCTTGTGGCCATGGAGGTTCAAATGCAGTGACTCCGGGCTATCTGTAAAGCAGGTGGTCGCCCTGGGATTAATCGACTCGCATAACGGATTGGATATCCAGGTTAATCGAAAAAAACCATCAATACCAACCCCTGACACCACCATCATCAAATCAAATCAAATCCAAAAAACACAATTTAGATCTATCGATATTTTCTTTAATGGAATTTAAAACCAAAAATAGTGGGTCGTGGTTGGGGAAGGGGCAGTGGTAAGTTGCAGAAGGGGAGCACTGACGACGAGCCTAAGATGGATTGCGGGAAAAGGGGCACAACAACAAGTTGCAAGGGAGATGAGCGACAATGAGCGTAGACAAGGTGGTTGAAGGGCACTGATACGAAGCAACTAAACGGTTTATTACAATCTATGACGTGTCCACTATATTATACCATAGCAAACATATTCACTTATTTTCATCATTATTACATTGCCGAATTTTCTTTACAAACACTGGTCTTGTTTCACATAGGACATCTGTTCAAGCTATTTCATGCTTATTCAAAGGTTTATCTGTTTACATTATAGTCCTCTTAGGTTATTCTGAGATGCGTGGTACGTGTAACAGTGTAAGTTAGTTCGGACATTTACGGTTAATATATGTGAATTACATAAAAAAAACTCATATGGTGCACAACTAAGCATCAGAGGCATGGGCTGACCTATTTTTTGGGGTATGGTTGTCTGTGAAACCATAAGATTTTTTGGGTTTAAATTATAAACATTGAAATCTTTAGGGGGTTTAAATGAAAAAACTAAAAAATAAACACTTTAGGATGCAAGCTTGAGGATGGTAGTTGGAAATCAGTTAAGTTTTTAATCCTTCAAATACTTTTGTGGTTTTAATTTACTTCCCTTGCTTTTTTCACTTTTTATTTTATACCCTTATCTATATTGTATTATAAAACATTTGACAAATACTCTTAAAAACTATTTTTTTATGCATGAAATATTGTTTATTGATGCGTATTACTTAAAATTCGAGGTTACAAGTAAATTATATATAATTACAACTTATTAAAGCTTCATGTTTGAATTCGTGTAAGGGGCTGTTTGGCAGTTGCTGAATGATTTAGTGCAGAATAGTTAAGAGGTCAGAATGGTTGAGAGGGTCAGCATGGTTAAGTGCTGAATGAAATAATATTGTTTGGTAACTGTTATCTGAATGATAATAAATTACCATTTTAACCCTCTCTAATAAATTATCATCGAGAATCATCTAAACCCTAAATTCTTGCCCTTGTTCCTGGACCTTTCGATTGGAGTTTCGTATCCGATGGATTAACTCCGGTTACCAGCCTGAACACAATCAAACGCCATGTTATCACTATGGTCGTTAAAATCTGCCGATTTCTTATAAGAGATACCAGTTTCGAGGTTCACAAAGATCTCAGAGATAGGGAATGAATTTCTTGTGCGACGAAGCAAGGAACGAGAGGAAGAACGATTTCAAAGCATGATGGTTAGATTCGGCGGTGTCGAGGAAAGCACAGACAAGGACCCAACCTTAAATACTCGCTGGTGGAGGCGGAGACGATGGAGGCGGAGGTTACCGGAGCCTTTTGTAACCATTAAGAGGTTCTTTTTTTGTTGCCAAACAACCCTTGCCTCTTAGCGATTAAGAGGTTGGCTCTTAATGTCACCATTAAGAGCCAAACAAACAACCCCTAACTAACTGCAGATAAACATAATCAACTACAGGATAAACATCTCATTTTAAATATAAAAAATCTAAAATATAATTAAAATAATCATTGAGTTACACTTATAATATAATACTTAATTATTATCCTTATAAAAATTATATTATTAGACTGAAAATAAATTATTTTGTTATTTAAACCTAAATTAAATTATAATAATTTTTTTTGAAAGAAACTACATAAAAAACAAGAAATTTTAAATAGTTAATTTGATACTAATATCGAGATATTTTTTAATTTTTTTTATGAATATAAACATTATCCCTTTCTTAAAATCACATAAAACCGTATTATATCGACAGAGACAAAAAATAAAACGAAACATTATCTCGATGTATCTCTCTGTATTGCGCGAGTATCCTTCTAGTCAATACTAATTAATTAATTATTAGCTAAAATACATTAAAAAATACGTATTTTCTTTTACAAATTACACCGTCAGAAAGGTCTCGTCGATACGCCCGATATTAAATATTTTTAAAATTAATTATATTTTGAATGTTAATACAAATGAAAAATAACATATTTTTAACGTTAATTATATGCATATATGATAAAAAAAATACTTTTTGATTAATTTTTATTTTATATTATAATAGTTGATGCAACGACTTTGAAGATTTTCTACATTTGCCTCTGTTCAAAGGATGGTTAGGGCTTTTTTTTAACAATTTGTTGATATTCACAACTAATTCGATTATTTATATATAATTATTTAGTAATAACTCAATAATATAAAAAATGACTTGTTTAGTAAGCTTTAAAAAGATAAATTGCATGAAAAAATAAGATACTTTAACTTGATTTCTATTTTGGATAACAAACTTTAAAAAATTTTATTTTGATACCTAAGATGTAAATTTTAAACATTTAAGTATCCGATAACCGGTTAAAACATTAACCGATTATTATGCTGATGCGACGAATGATGTGATATCTAACTCAATATTATTTACTGACATGAATATCTTAATCTATAATTAGTTTTTATATATTATGGTTTATTAAAAAAATTAATATTTTAATCAATTATCTAAATAGTTAAATATTTAAAATTTTATATTTTAAATATTAATTAAAAATTATCATAAAAAAATTAAAATACGTTAATTTTTCATGCAATTTATCTATTTCAGTTAGAAAAAAAAAAAAAAAACTCCCAATTTCTGCATAAACAACTTTTCTAGTTCCTTCCTAGCGTAACGGAACTGCAATGAATACTCCGGTGAATGGTCCTGCCCCCGCCGGCGATGATGATGAACTTGAGGAATTTTCAGACGACTTCAAATGTTGCGTGTGCTTGTAAGTCCGTATTCGGATATCAACATCGATTAGAGTCGTTTTGTAATTTGATTGTTACTTGATCGAAATACGTTTTTATTATGCTTTAAGATGTGAATTTTATAATTCACTGCATGCGATTGTGTAAGCTTTGTGTCCCTGTGGATCTACGCGAGTGATCAGTGTGCGGACTATTTTTTGCGGATTTTGGTCAGTTAGGTTATTCTGACTCGAATGAATGGATGGAGTTCCGGATTTGATGGAACTAGTTGTAGGAGATTGATGTGAGGACTTTCAGTTAGTGAACCCGAGGTTAATTCGTTAAGATGAACTCAATCGCTTCCAGAAATCGAAACTGGTACTTACCAGATTCTAAGTCAATTTTATCTCTTTTAAAAGGGTTTATCATGTTGTCTTTCTTATGTAGTTTAATGTAATCATCAACTTATTTTCTGTAAGTTGATTGAATCATACAAGATGCAGATGTTGAGAAATAGTTGGGTTGACCTTCAAAAGTTGAAGAGGGGCTCTTCATGATTTTGTTATTATCCCTGTTTTAAGATTGGATATATGTTTTATGGATTGCATTGGATAGGAAACTACTTATCAAATCGTAGGCATTCAATATTTGTAAGTAGGATTGATCTTAAGGATCATAGCCATTCCACCATCATTTAGTTAGCATGGCATCAAAGGAGGCTAGAAAGGTTGAAATTGAGTACATTTTATTTTTATCAGAAGCATTTCTCTTATATATTTATCTTTAGCTATGTGATCCTTGGGAAGTGGTGAGAAAGGTCAAAGATGAGTAGGTGATTGGATTATATTTGCTATTCTCTTACTTCATTTTGAATCCGTGTGTGTGTGCGTAATCCTTTTATTTTGCAGGGATCTCATCTACAAGCCAGTTGTATTGGGTAAGAAGCGATTGCAAAAAAGCCACAGTTTGAATGATACTTGTATGCCGATGTTTTAGATTCTTTTGTCCGTGTTTTGCAGCATGCGGCCACATTTCATGTTTTTGGTGTGTCTTCGAAGCTATGGACACTTGTCAGGAATCTCGCTGCCCTGTTTGTCGACATGCGTATTATCATTTTCCTAGTATATGTTGGCTGCTTCACTTTGTGCTGCTGAAGTTGTATCCTGATGCTTATCGAAGAAGGGAAAGTCAGGTGACAGGTATGCCTTTCAAAAGTCATGCTTTTGCTTTTACGGCCTGGTTAACTTATGTATTGGATTAATTCTGATCACTATTGATAGGTATGTAGCTTCCCCAATTAATACTTGGGGTGTCTTGCTATACAAAAATTATTAGACGGATTGCACATTATATTCAGACTATTGTCTTTCTAGCCAGTAATTTCAGTAGTCCAACTGCCTGAGGTTCTTAATATTAATATATCACTGGGGATGGTATGGTTCTTTTTATTAAATATATAAAAAGTGTCATCACAGAAATGATGCATTTGGAAGAGAAACTTCTTTAGGCTCACAGAAATGATTAATATGTGATTGTACCTAAAGGATATGGTAGAAATGATAGTAAAAAACGTGAGGTCCTGTTATTTTGATGGCAGTTGCGGTAAGAAGGATGAAACTTACTACCCAAAAGGTATATTTAAACCTTTAGATGCAAAAACATTTCATGCCAAGACAAACAGGGAAGTAAAAATTCAAGAGAGAGGTTCCCATTTCAACCATCCCCGTATAATAAGTAAACCTTCAATAATTATTTACATGTAAATCATATCTGTGTCTCAGTGTGCTTAAAAACCTGGATGATAAACCACAAGCTTAAAACATATTTTCCCCTTCTGTTGGACTTTGGCAAGTTTAGCGTTGTTTTTTAAAAGACATTTTAGCACTTTGTATTATGAACATGTAATTTCATTGAACTGATGAGATTTCCATTATTATGAGACTTCTGCATGCAGTTGATTTTATGAGGGCTTCCTTGAATCTGATGTTTTCCATTTGGCAGACATGCGTCTGTTCCAAGTGTTTACTTTTAATAAATGTCATTGCTAGGACAAGGATCAATAAGGGCTAGATGTTGCGATAAAGAGAAACCAAATTTTAGTAAACTTTAATACTGCAAAATGTCAAGGTCAAAAAGAAGTTTTGGTGGTCCAATAATCATGCACGTCCCCTGTCCTTTCCATCTTGTATGCAGTTCACTTTGTCTACCCAAGGCTCTTGTTCTCTGGTTCTTAGCATGTGAGATACTGTATACTGGTCTTGGTTAAGCGAGCAGATCATTACCATGGTGTGAAGGATGTGAAGCCTTGGACATCTGATGCAGTAAACATTTAGACAGTTTTGTTTTAACCTTGTCTTGCATTCTTTGAAAATCCAAGGGGATCCTGAACTTCTTGGTGTCAAGTTTGGAAAATTCTCTATAACACTGATAATTGTAGAATATTTATAATTCGTTGTTCTTCCTCATCAACTACCTTTCCCCAATGAATTTAGTAGTGGAAGGACTTGCATTTCAGTATATTACTAGTCGTATATCGGTACAATGCAGCAGTATGTAAAATTTATTGTACACAGAAAATGGAAAATTAATGTTGTTTCTCATTTAAAAAGAAAATTCGAAGTTTATTAGAAGAACCCAACGCTTATCCTATATTTGAACGTGTTCATCAGTTGGTTTTATAGAGTTCAAAAGTGGAGTATTAAGAAGTTGTGCGTATACTCTAATAAGTTATAAACTTGAATTCTAAGAGATTATGCATTAATAAGCAGTACTTAATGCTTAATAAAGTTGTTTTTAAGAGTTTTAATCAAATGTTCATTACACAGTATAGTACCATATGTATATTTTTCATGTGCTCATAATCTTATCACTTTCTTGTGGCAGAGGAGGAAAAGATCAATGGAACCTTCTCGCCACAGTTTGAAAACCATCTAGCTGTATCACATTGTAATGAACAAATGCCATTACAATGGCATGCTACGGGACAAGGTGAAGATTGTTCAGTTAGGGGATCATTGGAACCTGCTCTGTCTGATAACAATTGTACTACAGGAAGCCCTACAAGTTCGAGTGATAAAATCACAAAAAATGTGACTGTAGAAGGAAATTTGCTAAGTGGAAATGAATATGTTGACAGCCAGCCAGCAAAGCAGGTGCCCATCACCGATTTACTTTGTGCAATATGTAAAGAACTTCTCTGTCGACCTGTGGTACTTAACTGTGGTCACGGTAAGCATCAACATCTTCAGTAACAATATACTCCCTCCATCCCAAAATAAGAGCTTGTTTGTTAGCAGCTTAATGAGCTTAATGGGACTCACAGCTTATTCGGTCAGAGATATATGACTGTTTGGTAGTGGCTTAATGATATAGAAAGTGGCTTATTCAGTAAGCTTTTTGGGGGGAGCGTTATGCAGAAAGCCAAGTTTTTTCCAAACCTACCCCTCCAATTAAAAAACATGTTTATTCCATCTATGAAAAAACCCTCCCAAACAAAAACCTTCTCAATCTATAGAGACAGATTAATGCACACAAACATCTTTATCCATACAGGACTTAACGGAAAACCAACCCAACAACCACCAAGTGTCCAGATTTCTATTTTAGTTTGTCCCAAAATAACTGTTCACTTTATAAAGCAATTGTCTACTTTCCAATCCTGCCTTAGTTATAAGATGGAGAGATTCATTATTGCTCTATTATTAAGGGTAGAGTTATCATGTAGTTAACTAAAAGAAATGTAATAATTACACATTTCTAAATTGTGCGCCTTTTTCATTATGGACATTTATTTTGGGCCTGAGGGAATAGAACGCTTGCTCTGAGATAGGATAGAATCAATAACATTGTTACATTCTTCTTTCACAGTATTTTGTGAAGCGTGTATTATCGATTCATGCAATGAGCCATGTAGATGCCCAGTGTGTCGAAGCATGCATCCAAACGGGTTTCCAAAAGTCTGTCTGGTTCTTGAGGGTTTTTTGGCGCAGCATGTTTCAGAAGAATATGCTGCAAGAAAAGTGGCTATTGACAAGCCCATAACTTGTGAGCAAGGAAGCTCATCAACAGGTACGTCCATATTTTCATGATCTATTTATGCCAGTGCTACAAGGCTCAGGTAATATCAGCAAGTTTATATGTTCTTTAATTCATTGAAAAATGTTTTCTTGCTCACAATTCACAAGTATACATATGGTGTCAATTAACCATTGGAAAGAGTTGGTCAAGACTATAAATCAGCAACTAAACCGGATGAAATGGATTCACCGAGAAAAGTAGTGAAAAACTAAGTTTTCATGCCAAAATTTAACATCCAAATTGGATCAATTGGTTCTTGGATTGTAGTTCAAAATCCAATAAAATCGAACCGATCCAAATCAATTACCTTCCAACTACCATCGAAATGGTGGATTAATTGGTTGGAAACTTGGATCAAAATGTTGGATTGATCCAATGGATAACCAATAGTCCAATAGTAATCTCCAATGGATGGAACTGATCTGATCCATTCATCCATTGGGTTGGATTGGATTGGCTGTCCAAAGTTAATTAATTTGGATTGGATTGGCTGTCCAAAGTTAATTAATTTGGATCTGTTGGCAAAGTCCAACATCTAGCGGATCAGTTCCTTCTAAATCCATTGGATTTCAACCGGTGGGCACACTGATGTAAATCGCTGTATTCTATCACTTTTAGATGATCTGAAACCTGATTTTTTTGTATACCAGTCTCAACACAAGTTCCACAAGATTCTCAATCTGTACCTATGAATGACTACTTGTGTAGTCCAGACAGCAAGGTTCACTTCGGAGTTGGTTGCGACTGCTGCGGGGTAATATTTTATTGTTTTACTAAACTTATATCCATTCCAATAACTGTAAACATGTGAACAGAAGGCAATGGCCTTATCTTCAAGAAAAAAAACATGTATAAATCCGAAGCTTCACAGTGCCCATGGACCCTGCTCCTTGTTGGTTGTGGTGCTCAATATCAGAACCATTGCGCTCAACTTCATATTCTCATTAGGTAATGTGTGGCCGGGGAGGGGGTTAGGGGTTTTCTTATTAGGTACCACGAATGAGAATTGTTAGTCAGATTATGAAATATTCCACAAATTAAAAATACCCTAAAAAATCTGGAATTTGCTTACAAGTGTGATTGGTACGCGGGACAGGACGAGAGTGGACAGAACAAAAACTTGTTGCCCCATGTTTGGTGTGACATTTGGACTGGTGAGGACATGACCGAGGGGTCATTTACCAAATGCTTACTGGGTAAGCGCTTATCGGATGTCACTTATCTTAGCGATGAGCATGACAAGAACCGAAAATCTTACTCGGTAAGAGGCATAACAAGGACCGATAGATTTTCCCAGTAAGGCGGTAAGTGAGGGAGAAGACTTTTTACTGGGAAAGAAACGCGTACCAACAATCCATTTGATGGCCGAGAATGTTAATGATAAGGTAAGTGAAGGTGATAACTTTTGCTGGTAAGCGTTTGGTAAATGACCCTAGGATAGGACAAAGATGCATTTTTATTCCACCAAAATAGGTGGAACAAAAATTTGAGACAAGAGCGATAAATTACTAAACTACCCATCTCAAATTAGAAGCTCACAGTTCTTTCAGTCTGCATACCAAACGCACCCTCTGATGAAATGTCAACATACGAACTAAACAAATATCTAGATTGAGATTTCTATGAATTGTACAATGCGCTAGTAAATATGAAATGCTTCTCCCCTCGTAGAAAAATGAGTATCGTCTCATTGAACTTTACATGTACAAGATTGATTTCTGATTTGAAAGCAACTTTGAAACAGATGTATCCGCTGATCGGAGATCGGTACAGATGCAAAGATTGTTTTGAAGAAGTTGGGTTCGACCTATGCGAAGATTGCTACAACAGTTCCTCTAATCTTCCCGGAAGATTCAATCAACAGCATAAACCAGATCATGAGTTTGAGGTCAAGGAACCCAAGCCTATGATCATCCTATCTACTGGTTTCGCTTCCGACTGGCACGACCCCGAACCTCCTCCCACAAACGATACATTCGGTGATCGAGACGGCATTGGACCGACGTAATAACCACCATCCTCAGCTGAATGGGGCATCTTTTTCCATACTTGTAATGGTGTTGAGCTTCATGAAAAGCTTCTGTATTCTGCATCCATTCATCATAATCTGTCTCATATCTTTAGAACTTTCCATGTTTGGCTATGTGTCATATGGATGATTATGATGCTTCATGGTCATTAGCCCAGTGGTATCTTCGTTGCCGCTAGATCCCAACCATGCATGAAAAGAAGACCCGTCTCATCGAAGAACCTCCAGACAGGGCCGGGGATTCCCCACAAAACCGGGGATGAGACAGGGCTGGGTAGTTGACCTCGATCTTACCCGGCTCTGTTCCATCCGTATATTAGACATATTATATATTTATTATTAAATATATTATTTATAAAAAAATAAATTTAAAAGGAGTATTTTGATCTTTCTTTTTATATAAGTGTTTGTAAATTGTTTTACTTTTTTTAGATTAAGAACATGGAGAACCGAAAACATTTGGTCAAAAAATTGTTTATGATGTGATTTTATTAACATATGAATATTTGATACTCCATAAAAACAAACTTGGAAATATGTGAGATTTAAACATGGATCATTTTTTATCGAGTGTGATATTTAACACATTTGATTTAAAATATCTCAATGAACGGAAAAAAAATATCCTCCATTCTACGTTGGGAACATGTATGGAGATGCCATCATATTTCCCAGGAAGAACGGGGAAGGAGAATAAGGATTGCCGTCCCCGCCTCGTTCTCATGCTTAATTCCAGCTTTTTCGAAGTTCAAAGGGTTCAGAAATCACCAAATCTGATCAATGAAAGGGTCGAAGTCGAACTATACCGTGGCGTTTATGTTTTTTTATTGTAAATTAACCATCATTTTTGTTATAAAAATACGTGAAAATGTGACTTTAAAATGAGAACTTCTTAAAGAAAATATTCAATAAGCAAGTGTTCATGATGCAGCGTGTATTTTTACCGGTTTTAGGGATTGTTTGTTTACCTCTTAATAGTTTCATTAAGAGGCAACATCTGAATCGTTAAGAAGTGAATATTGTTTGGCAAAAAAAAAAAATTTGTCTCTTAATGGTTCTAAAACCCTCTGAATGATTTTGTATCATGGATATCCCTTAACCATTAAGAGCCCTAATTTCATTGTATACAATTACCAAACAATTATATTTCATTTTGCAATAAATCATAAGAGCTTCTTAATCATTCTGACCACTTAATCATTCTGCACCAAACCATTCAACAATTGCCAAACAGCCCCTTATTCTTGTTCATACAGACGACCAATTTTTTATGTAATTATATAGAATTAATAAATATAAATAAATAAATAATTTTAGATGAAAATTGCAAAGACTTGTCAAAATAGAAGGTTATGTTTGAATATTCTATACTAAACTACAAATTTGGTCCCTATGATTTGTTAAAAAAATATTTTTTATCTATGTAATTTGAAAATTATAAAATAGTTATCGTAGTTTGTAAAAACAATCTAGATTTGATCCCTCCATCTAACAGTCGTTAAAAAATTCCGTTAAATACAAGACATTCTGGTCATTTTATTGATTTTCTTTGTATTTTATCCAATTAAATTCGATTTTATGATTTTGACCATGTGGTTTTTTATTGGAAAAAAAGACAAAAAAAATCACGATAATCATTTTATAATTACATCAAAGAAATGTGTTATTTTTAACAGACCACATGAACTAAATTTGTAGTTTACTCTATATTTTATCTAAGTGTAAATTTCATGAAAAAGTAACGTACTTTGACTTGATTCTTATTCTGGGTAACTTACTTTTAAAACTTCAATTTTAGTACATAAGACGTAAAGTGTTGAACATTTAAGTACTCGGGTAACCAGTTAAAGCATTAACCGATCACCACGCTGATGTGGTGAGTGATGGCATGAAATTGGATTGAATAACAAATAATACTGAATTGGATACCACATATCACTCGCCACATCAACCGGTTACCTGGGTACTTAAATGTTCAAAACTTGACATCTTATGTACCAAAATGGAAGTTTCCAAAGTACGTTACCCAAAATAAAAATCAAGTTAAAGTACGTTACTTTTTCATGCAATTTGTCTGAATCTCAGTATAAAAAATCAATCATTTTGTGGTGAGAAAAGGGAAAAAGAATTATACAAGGACATAAAGGGGACCAGTGTAAATAATTGTAAGACTATAGTTGGCAAATAACAAGTTCTGATACCAACATTCAGATGTTAGGGGACCACTGTTCTGTTTCAGTGGGGTTTCAGAATTTGTGTATTCAAGCAATCATTCTCATCTTAAAATTCAAATGATAAACATTTTTTTAAACGAGAAGACGGTTAATTTGTAAGAAAGTAAAAAGTTTTAAATTATATCTGATATAAACATGTAATCATATCTGATATAAATATATTGTATTGACCAGCCATAAAGTGGGCGAGTTTTCCTCTTACCTTTGTCGTAGTGACTAAGTGGCCTCGTATATTTGGACTTGTTGTATCACATGTGATTTTACATGTTATCTTGGAAATTCTTGACTTTTCGTAAATTGATCGACTTCTCTCGTGATTCTCTCTAACGGGTTGTTTACCAAACAATTATCGGTAAGCGGTTGCTAGGTGTTGTCACTTACTTTACCGGTTGAACATGACAATAGTATGAGGCATAACAATGATCAAGAATATTACTCTGGTAAGTGAGAGAAAAGACTCTTACCCGGTAAATGCTTACGAACTCCAACGAGTTCTCCAAAACTTTCTAAAAATGGATAAAATATTAGAGACTGTGAAATTCTACAAATTTGAAGAACTCCCGGAAAATGATTACTATGAGCGAGAAACCTTTTTTTTTAATTATATTCCATTAATAACCTTCAAATTAAATGTTTACAAAGAGGAAAATAATAATTTATTAAATGTAATAAAATATTTTAATAATATAATTAATGTTGTAACATTCAAAAGGGGTTGATATCCCCACCCCCTTATGTCACTTCTCACCCCCTCTTCCACCGAAATTTTTTAAAATTTTAATTTTAAATATATATTTTATACTCTTATAATTAGATAATTAATTTACTTTACATCCTTTCCTTTTAAAATTTTTATTTTACACCCTTATCAAGTTAACACACATAGTCGTATATCAATTATAACATGTTTAAAAAATACATTTTTATTTTAACAAATTACACCATTATAATCGTCTCATTAATACCTTCGAAATGAGTCCAATATTAAATAGTTTTTGACTTAATTATATTATTATATATTATATATACTATGAAAAAATATTTTTATTATTTACATTTTATACTTTTATAGTTATTTATTTAATTTATAGTACATAATTTATTTTTTCAATTTTCGTTTACACCATTATCACATTAAAAAACATAATTTCATATCAACTAAAATTAGATCTAACAACGAAATTAACCTCTCAGGAAGCATTCTCATACCCTTTATTCATCTTGTTCATCTTACATACTCATTTTTTAATATACTTTTTAATTTTAAAATTATACTTCATGTTCTATAGTTACTTAATTAATTTATTTTTATAGTTTTGTTTTTTCTATTTTTTGTTTTATACCCTTATCACGTTAAGATACATAATTATATATTAACTAAAATACGTTAAAAAATACGTTCTAATTTTAACAAGTTACATCATTATAATCGTTTTGTCAATATCTTTAAAATAAGTCCAATATTGAATATTTTTTTATTTAATTATATTATTATATCATATATTACTACGAAAAAATATTTTTTAACACTTATATTTTATACTGTTGTAGTTAATTACGTAATTTATGGTATGTCCCTTTTGTTTTTCATTTTTCATTTTATACCCTTATCACATTAACATACATAATTGTATATTAATTTAAAAATACATTTTTATTTTAACAAGTTATACCATTATAAATTGCCTCCTCAATACTTTCGAAATTTATTAATATTGAATATTTTTTGATTTAAATTATATTATTATATGATATATATTACAAAAGAATATTTTTATTACTTACATTTTATGCCATTGTATTTATTTAATTTTTGAGTACATCCTTTACTTTTTCATTTTTTGTTTTACACTTTTATCACATTAACATACATAATCGTATATTAAACTAAAGTACGTTAAAAATATTTTTTTTATTTTAACAAGTTACACTATTATAATCGCCTCGTCAATACCTTCAAAATAGTCTAATATTGAATTTTTTTATATTTAATTATATAACCATAATAATATAAATATAACAAGGATATAAAATGAAAAATAAAAAAAATAGAAAAAATGTATCTCGTTGCATTGTGCGAGCATTATTCTAGTATTTATAAAGGTATAAAGTGTATATATAAAAAATCACAAATATAAAACTTAAAAATACGTATTTTTAATAATATATAATTAATTAATTTATATAATTATTAGAATAACACGTATTCTTAGTACTTAATTAATTAATAATAATGTAAATTTAATTAATTTATATAATTACTAGAAGCGTACTCGCGCAATGCAAC